TTGGCCAAACCTAGACTGTGCACTGGGACAACTCATCCCTGGAGGGCTCCTCGCTTGCTGGGAGGGACGAGAGGGAGGAAAGCACCTGGGTGTGCTGGTGCTGTACACATAGGCGCTGATCCAAGCCCTGCTCCCTGTCGGAGCAGGGTCTGAAGCGTTAGGTTGGCTCCTTTATAGCGCAGGGCCAGTCCCACGGGCACTGGGAGCGGGAGGCAGCAGGGAGCCCATGCAGCCGGGAGCAGAAAAACATCCAAAATCTCAAACACGCCGGGGACAGGAAAACAGCTTCCCACCCTGCTGTAATCACAGGGTCACCCGCTCTGCGCAGGGAAGGGCCTGGCCGGTGCCACCCACGTCCATCGGCCTGCGGGAAAAAAAATAACGTTGCACGGGCAGCCGGCAGCTCAGCCGTGTCCTCCCCGGCCACCGGCACCGCAGGCCCTGCCGGCAGCCCCACACCGCCCCGTCCCTCTCCCTCGGGGTGGCAACGCCAGCCCCTATGGCCGCGGGGATTATTTTTAGGCCGGGGCGGCGGGCAGAGAAGGGCCTTTTCTGCCGGCGCGGGCCGGCGCGCTGCCAGCTGGCAGGGGCTGCCGGCCGCTGCTGGCTGCTAACAGAGCAGTTGCTGTTTGGCCCCGGCCGCCGCCTCGGGTTACAGGGGCCGGGCTGGGGCGCTCTGTGGGCGCCGTGAAGCGGGCGCCCGGCCCCTGGCGCCGGGCACCGGGCGGCGCGCGCGGGTGCGACGGGCCCCGGGTGCCGCGGGCTGCAGGTGTGCGTGGTGCAGGTGCGCACGAGCAGCGCAAGGTCGAGCGCACGGGGCTGCCCCGTTTCTGCTCCTCGTGCCGCTCCCGTTGCTGTTTGTCTGCTCTTTGTGCCTTGTCCCTGTCTCCCCTTAGGAGAAGGTTTCTCTGGAGCCGGAGGCTGCTGCCTTCCCACTCTGGAGAGCGTGTCCCCACTGGAGGGGTGTCTCCCATGCTTGCTTCTGAGTGCAGGTCCTGCCCTTGTGCTGAGCCTTGCCTGGCTGAACCTTGTCTTTGGATACCAGCAACAGCTTGGACATTTCATGGGGGGCTGGTGCATGGCCGGGCCTGGGGAGGCAAGTGCTGCAGGGATCCCCCACACCAGAGTCACGCTTGCACAAGCTCTACAACCCTTGGATGTGCTTAATGCAGTGTGCTGCATCCCAAGCTGTCCCGCTGTCCCTGAAGGAAAGGGAGCTCAGCTGGGGTTCTTCTTCCACCCTCCAAAAATCCCACAGAGGGAAGGAGAGGGAAGTTGCTGCTGCTTCCAAGTGCCGCCGCCCTTGGCAATGGGATGGGTTCCCAGAGCCAGCACCCTGTGGTCTGGGGGAGCCGTGCCAGGTGCAGGAGAGCAAGGGCCTGGCACGGTGGCACCTCGTGGGTCCATAGAGCTGTGTGCCATGAGGGGGTGCCATGAGAGGTTGCCCAGTGCAGAGTGGCTTGGAGCAGGTTGGCCGCTCCGGCGTGTGATGCCCAGAGCTGCCAAGCACTCTCATCATCCTGCTCTGTTTTGTTTTCGCTCCTCTCTGCTTTTTCCCACGTCTCCGTTGAGCAGCAGCTTGCAGTGAAGCACAGTGGAAGAAAGCGGCTGTCTGCGCCCAGCACCCAGTGCGATGGGAAGTTGGTTTCCCCCGGGAGCCTGCGCCAGGCCACCGCAGGGCACGGTGGTGGGGGGACCGTCACGCGCCGCATGGGTGTCACTGCTGCGTGCTGTGATTTGAGATGGGAGGAGAGCAGGGGACAATATTCAGCTCCCGTCATTGGGGTTTGGATGGTGCTGCCGTTCCTGCAGCTCCCTGCAGTCGGCCTCCAGGAAAAATAATGTTGCATGAGCTGAAATGTTGTGAAATGTAAGTGTGGGCGCCCCGTGCTCCCCCAGCAGCCCTTGCCCTTGCAAAGGGGATGGCTGGGAAGGGGCAAAGCAAGTGGCTCCGGGAGCTGGTGCTGCAAGGCGGGATGCAGGGGAGGGATGAGGAGCGGAATGCGCCGCGGGCAGCGCCCGTGCAGGGCCAAGCACCCTGTGCCAGATGGGTGTTGCACAAACTGCTCTCCTGGCTGCCAGCGCGGCCCGGAGCGAGCGCAGGGCGACCTGGGCGCCTTCCGGCTCTCCGGTGAGCGGAGTTGGGAAAATAACAGAGGGAGGGCCCTGCTGGGGCCGGCCCAGCCCTGTCCCCCACCACGGGCGCTGGAAACCTCCGCTGAACCTCCTAGCGCGATTTCCTTGTAGCTCTGGGGCCAGCGCCCGGCTGTCGGAGCGGCGGCAGCTCCCGCCTGCTCCTTGGGGGCCCGGGGCAGCCGTCCCCTGCCCGGCGCTGCCTCTGGGGGACACCGGATCTCCGGAGATGCCCCCAGGCCGGGCAGCTCCGGGATGAGGCGCATGGAGGTTACAGCACTGAGGCTGGGCAGGGATGGAGAGCAGCGACCTGGTAGTTTTGGTCACCCTGGCTGGGTCCAAGCTGTGCGGAGGGAGGTCCCGTCCCGCTGCGGTTCATCCCAGCACAAGCTGCAGCCCCGGGCTGGCCCCGCGGCCCCCGGGCAGGGGCTCGCAGGCGGCAGGCGCCTCCCGGGCCGTCCTTAGTGCGTGCGGAGGAAGAAAGCGCCTAATTGTTTCCTGCCGCGCCGCTCGGCTCCGGGCCGGGACGCGCCGTCCCCGGGATGTGTCACGGCTGCTGGGAGCACAGAGCGGAGCTTTCTCGGCCGCTCCTCCCAGGGAGCCGGCTGGCCGCTGCCCTCGCGTGTGTGTTTGCACCCGGCTTTCACCCTCGGGTTGGGAGCACCCAGCGCGGGGAGCCGGATGCTCCCGAACCGTGGCCGCCCATCCCGGCGCCCCTGGCCTCCTTCCACACCGTGGCCAAGAGTGACATCCCCAGGTCTTCCCCAGCCCGCCGCTCTTTCCCAGTGGGACAAGGCTGCGGCTGGGGACCAGGGTGGGCTCCTCCCCGGGCTTTTGCTTGTGGCCTTGGGGTGGGAAGGAAGGGGTTGCCCTGTTGCTCATCCCTGTGGCGATGCTGCCCAGGCACCAGTGGCTTTTGGCAGTGCTTCAAGCAGGTTGCTTTTGGAACCAGCTGCATGCCCGTGCACGATGCCGCAGTGCCCAAAATAACCTGCTCGAATGGGGCAATGTCTAGTCATGGTCCTGGCCTAAGGATGGGGGGTGCTCGGGGGTGTCCCTGACATGGGGTGCTGGTGGCACAAGGGTGCGGGGTGCTCCTTGGCTGCTCAGAGAGCAGTGGGGGAAAACAGGGGAGATCTCAATGGGTCTTGGGTCCATGTGCCCCATGTCCCTGATATCCCCAAAGAGCAGCAGCTCCGCTAGCACTGCTGAACAACCACCACACATTCACCCTCCATAGCCCACACTGGATAAAAATGAAACAAAACAACCCCAAATAAAACAAAAACAGGAAAAAAAAGGGCAATTGGGGGAGAAATTGTTTTATTTTGAAGTTCTACTGCCTTGTTCACACTAACAGTCTCCCTTTTTGCTCATCTCTCAGCACCGTGCCCTTAGCGCTGACCCACGTGGTGCTAGAAGTTATTTTTGGTTGCTGCTTTTAAGTGTACTTTAAAGCCTTTTATTCCATCCCCAAAATATTTTACTTCAAGGCGTAATATTCCCAGTTAATATCAGTTACCATCACAGTTTTGGCAGCGCTCTTCCCACTGCTGTTCCTTGGGAATGTTGCTGTGTGTGTGGTTTGGTAGGAAGAGCTTGTGACAGTCTAATGAAGTTATTTATGTCTGGGGCTCTCACCCGGCGCTGCCGGGTGTATTGGGGCGGGCCGAGGGCGCAGAGACGCCCGCGGTGGAGGCGCCCGCCGCTCGGCCGGGCCCTGGGCTGAGCCCTGTCACCCCGGGCCTGGCCTCGGCCCTGTCACAGCTTCAGCGACCGCAGCTGCTGCGGGGCACGTTTCCAGGGCCGGGATATTCCCCGCCGGCCGCCGCCACTGTCAGGGCCGGGGTGACTCAGCGGGAGGCAGATTCCTGCCCGCAGGGGTGAAACGCGGCCCTGAGCCAGGCCTTGAGCTGTGAGCAGGGAGCAGCAGCATGGGCAGCCGCTCAGGGCTCCTCAGGGGCAGCAATGGTGGGTTTTGGGGGCAAAAGAAATGATTTGGCTGCCTCTGCATCTCGCGGGGCCAGGCGATGCTGGCGGGGATGGCTGGGGCGATGCCTCCTGGCATGATCAAAGCAGCGCTGATCCCGCGAGGGATGCGGCAGCGCCGCTGGGGACAGGCCGAGCGAATCTGGCTCGGATGGACAGGGCGGTGCCGGCTGGGGCAGCTCGGGGCTGGCGCTGAGCGGGTGCTGCCCAGGAGCTCCCCATGCCTCAGCATCCCCCTCACTTCCTGGGAACTCCCCACACCTCAGCGTCCCCCTTGCATCTTGCCCAGACCCCCTGGTGATCCCCCCGTGGCAGAAGGGGATTCAGGACAGCTTTCTTTGGGTCTGCTCAATACCGGAGGTCCCCACAGTGCAGGCACCATGTAGGGGTTGACAAGACGGGGCTGCTCTTGGCCCCAGGGATGCTCCGGTTCATGGCCATGCACGGCGCAGGATGTGGGGCTGGAGTTGAGCCCAGCGCTGACCGTGTGTCTCCGTGTGTCACTTGGCCAGTGCTGGGCAGTGACACTGGCGGGGGCCAAGAGCACCCACGGTGGCCGCAGCTCTGCCCTGCGCGGCTCCTCCCCGGCCACAGCTATTTTGTCCTTGGCGTGTGGCACACCATGACCCGTGTCCCGCCGCCCTTGAGGTGACCCGTGTCCCGCCGCCCTTGAGCGTGGCTGGGCTGTGGGTGCCCCCATACCCCCCTGGGCTCGCACAGGCCCAGGGCCACCGTGTCTGCCCATGTTCGCCAGTCCCCAGTGCCAGCAGAGGAGGCAGGAGCCCTGCGCTCCAGCAGCACGGATGGCGTCTCCCGGAGCGTGGCAGGGGCTGCCACGCTTGCGGTGCCGCTGACGCCCTCCCTCTCTCCGTGTGCAGATGCGCAGTCGTGCCCGCGGCCTGGGCAGGGTGATGGTGTGCCTCGCCGCGGCCCTCGCCTCCGCCTGCCTCGCTGTGCCCGAGGGCTGGGGAGAGGAAGGTGAGCAGCAAACGGGCCCTGGGAAAGGGCAGCGGGGAGCAGAACCGGCACGTGCACAAGAAACATCCCCAAAACGTCACTGCGTGGCATCAGGCATCCCCATCAGGGACCAGTCCCTGCCGTGTCCTCGCAGCGTGGGGCTGACGGCGGTGCCCGCGTGTCCCCACAGGTGTGCAGTACGGCCAGCTGGGGACAGACGTGACCCTGCCGTGCGCCGGCGCCCGTCCCGGGTAGGTGCCTTTGGTCGGCGGGCTCCAATGAGCCGGTGATGCTGCGGAGCCCTGGGCAGCCGCATCCCGCTCCGGGGCCGTTCTCGGGGCCGCCCGGGCGCCCCGCTGCAGCCTCCCACCCTCTCTCTCCCCCGCAGCTCGCCGGTGCAGTGGCGGCGCGCCGGGGCGGCGGCGCTGCCGGCGGGCTCCGCGGTGCGGCACCACGGCGCCCTGCTGCTGCCGCGCGCCGGCCTCGCCGCCGCCGGCGCCTACAGCTGCCACGGCGAGGACGGCGCCCTGCTGCACGCCGTGGCCCTGCGCCTGGGCCGTGAGTAGCGGCTCACCCGGGGGGGACGGGCACGCGCGGCACCAGCCTCGGGCTGCGGGCAGGGGCTGGTCATGGGGGAACCTGTGCAGCCCCCCGGGTGTCCCTGAAAACCAGCTGTGGCCTGGGGCAGGGGGTGCCCTCAATAACGCTGCCTCCCTCCCCGGCCCCCAGACCTGCCCGGGGTGCCCTTTGTGTCCTGCAGAGCTTCCGACTATGAGAACTTCTCCTGCTCCTGGACCTCCAGCCTCGAGACCTTCCTCCCCACCAGATACATCACCACCTATAGGTGAGAACTGCGGCGGGGCTGGATGGGGTGAGCCCTGCCCTCCCGGCCAGAGAGAACCCAGTCCTACGGGATCCACAGCCCAGCTCTGCAGCGGGTCCCGTAGAGCTGTGCCCCAGCACCATGGCTGCACTTCAGCCCTTGCATCGAGGGTGTGGGGGGCATTTAAAGGGAGGCCCATGAGCAGCCTGAGAGGCCGTCACAGGCACCCTGCCTCCCCAGGGTCGGCTCTGCCAGCACCCGAAGCGGTGCAGATAAGCAGCGGGTCGTCTGCCAGCTGTCAAGCACGTCGGCGGGCTTGGGGATGAAAGGAGCCGGGGAAGCCTCCCTGCTTCTAATTACCGCGGCGGGCCAAATTACAGGCTTGCTTTGAAGGCAGCCGGAGCCCATAAAACGTGCAGAGCGGCGCTCTGAGCAGCGGCGCCTGCTCCAGGGCGCTCGCACTCGGGCGCCGGGCTCTCCTGGCCGCTGCCGGCCCCGCGCTGGTTCCGAGGGGACCCTGCTGCCGGTGCCAGGCCTGTGGACACGGGGAGCTGTGGGGCTGCTCGGTGCAGGGAGCTGGAGCCGTGCGGGGCTGGCGCTGGGAAGCAGCAGGGTTGTTTTGGAGCGCAGCGGAGTGGAGGGAGCGAACAAAGCCAGCTGCCGGCGAGTGGAAAATAACAGGAGGCCTCGGCAGCCCTCCCGGGCTGCTTTTGTTTGCAGCCTTCTGTTGCAGCGTGATGGAGCGGCCCGCGGGCCCCGGGACGGAGAGGGGAAACTGAGGCAGGGCAAGTGCCACGGGCTGGCTGGGCCAATGTCCCTGTCGAGATGCATGAACTGCTCCCCATCTCGCCAGCTCCCTGGGTGCCTGGCTGAGCCCACCCGACTCCTGTGCACTGGGGAGCACCCCTGGATGCCCTGTGGCTCCTGGCGTGCAAGTGCTCCAGCAAAATCCCGCTCCTGGTACTAGCTAGTGGGACCAGAGCAGCCCCCATGGCCAGGGTGCTGCAGGACCCCGTCCCCCATCCGGGTTATGGTGAGGTTGGTTTCACACTCTTCCCTGTCCCCCTTGGCTCACCACCTGCTCTACCATCTCTCCGTGGGCAGGAAGAAGTCGCTGACAGGAGAAGAGAAGCGGAGGTAGGACTGACCCCAGCCCTCGCCCCAGCCCCATGGCCCTGCCAGGGTCCTCAGTGGGGTCACCAAAGTCTGGGGATGGGGACCCCAGTGGGGGAACAAGCTGCTTAAGCCAAGGGGGAGTGGGGAGAAGAGATTCCCCCAGGGAAGGACCCTCCAGAGAGGCACTTTTGGGGGCTGGAATGAGGGTCCCTTTGGCCACGTTCAGAGGGAAGAGCTGGAGTATGGCGGGGTGGGGGGATCTGCTTTTGCCCTAGCATCACCCCAAGCTCTCCTGCAAGCAGGGAACCTGCCCCTGCCTGGGGCTTCCCCGCTTGGCACCTCCTGAGTGGTGCCAGGGAATTGCGGCAGAGCAGCTGGCACGGCGGGGCAGCCACCACCTTGTCATGCTGTCGGCAGGAACAGGAACGGGCCCGTGGGGCCGTGCCTGCAGGATCCAGCCCACGCCGGCACCTGCACCGTTCACAAGTCCGAGTTCTGGAGCTCCTACCGCATGAATGTCACCGAGGTGAACCCGCTGGGCTCCAGCTTTCGCCTCCTCGACATCACCATGCAGGCCATCAGTGAGTGCCCTCCGTGCTCTCCACGCCTGCAGGGCCACCAGCCCGGGCACCAGCGCCCTCCCGCAGGAGGAGATCCCGTCACAGCGTGACGGAGCCTCCGTGTCTTCTCCTGCACAGTCAAGCCAGACCCTCCAGAAGGCCTTGTGGTGGAGCCCGTGCCGCGGGCACCACGGCGGCTCCAGGTGAGCTGGAGGTACCCCGCGTCCTGGCCCAAGGAGCCCCACTTCCAGCTCAAGTTTCGGCTCCAGTACCGGCCGGTCATCCACCGCTCCTGGTCCGTGGTAAGCAGAGAGGACGCGAATGCAGAGCCACGTGGCAACAGGGAGCAGTGTAGGGTCTAGGCCTGGCTGGGGACACGTGACGGGGGCGAGCTGCCCTGGGGAGGTCACCCAGTCCTGGGGATGGCCGGAGGTGTCTCTGTGCGCCCAGCGGCTCCCCTCTGTGCCACGCAGGTGGAGACGGTGAACCTCTCCGAGGTGATCACAGATGCCTTCGCAGGGTTGGAGCACGTGGTCCAGGTCAGCGCCAAGGATTTCCTGGATGCAGGAAACTGGAGCGAGTGGAGCGCGGAGGTGCGGGCGACGCCAGTCAGAGGTGCGGGACAGGGCCTGTCTGCAGCCCTCGGCATCCTGCAGCTCTGCACCTTCCATCCCCACTGCCCCTCTCCAGCCCCTTCCCTCCAACATCTCTCCTTCCTCAAGTACCACCCAGGACAAACGCCAGCTCCTGAAGCCCTGTGACCATGCCCAGCTCTCAGGTCCACCGAAGCAGGGTGGCTGGTTTTCACTGGTATCCGCACTGTGCCTTTCCAGACCCTGCCACCGTGGTGAGTGAAGAAACCACTACAGACACCAGCCTGGAGAGCCTGGCTGAGGAGCCCTCGCAGGCTCCCAATCCTGAGCCCATCAGTGAGTAGACCCAGGAGCTCCTGGGCACAAGTGGGGACAGTCCATGCTTTGCTGACTTCCTGCACATGTCCATGGTTGAGAGCAGGAGAGGAAGGGTCCCATCTTCTGAGACCCCCATGCCTGCATCTTTCCATTTTGCTGTGCAAGCTGCAGAGGAGCAGGTCCTAGAGCCCCTAAGGATCTTCAGGGGACTTGACTAGGGAGGTTTCTGCATGGAGTTTGCAAGTTCTTGCTGCTCTTTTCTCTGGGCCATGGAGGGCGGTGGGTTGTGTGGATGTCCTGGGGTCCAGCAGCTCTGCAGGGTGGGTGCATACCCCAAAGGAGGACAGGGTCCACCCCAGCACCAGCCTGCCCAACTGCTCCGGGCTGCAGGGTCCCTGCAGGGTGCCAGGCTGTGGCACCCCTCGGCTGTGATGGGTCTGTCTCTGCCTGCGTGTCCTAGATCGCAGCGACCCCCTGGAGAAGACGGCCATCCTGGTCTCCCTCAGTATCTTTGCCTTCTTCATCCTGGCTACCATTCTGGTCATCACCATCCTCGTCTGGTAGGTTGTGGTTCAGTGCGAGGGACACTGTTGGACTCCACTGCTGAAGCTGCTCCAGGCAGAAACCAGGGAGAGGAAGCAGCATGGGGAGGCTTGGCCGCGTGTGCCACCCTGCTGAGGTCTTCCTGAGGGGCCCATGCCTGGTGGACCTTAATCTCTATCCCCCAAAAATACTGCCACTGGTAATGTGCCATCCAACTCCCCATGTCATATGCTCTGCAATCAGCACTAAGACCCCGTCATCTACCTTTTTCTGCCCAAATCCTGCCCTTGGTGCTGCCCCACTGGATTCGGTCCCGCTCTAACAAGTCTCCTGTCATCCAACCACTGCTGTGACCCTCCCTGCCAGCACTGTGGCTGTGCGGTCGGTCCCTGCCCTTGTCCCAGCCCGTCTGGAGCTCTCCCACTGGGCACAGCTGGATGGGATGTGCCGTGAGATCCCAGGGGATCCCAGGAGCCCCAGGGCTGGGGGATTCCGGGGATCCTGTGCAGGCAATGCTCTCCCTGTGCCCGGGGAGGGCTCCTTGGGCTTCTCAACCGCACTGCTCTGTCCCCAGGTTCCGAATGAGGAAACACAGCAAGGACGAGACCAAACCCCACAACTTCTTGGTTGCTGCCACCCGCTTGAAGGCTCTGCCGAGTGAGTGCCGAGCTGGGACTGCGGCCGCATGTGCGGGACAACTCCGTGTCCTGCCCCGCCAGGAAGGGCTGAGACGGGGCTGTCCCTGCTCTCACGCTGTCTGCCTCCTCTCCATCTCTCTGCAGAGGCTCAGATCCTGTAATGAGGCCTGGTCTCCCCCAGCTGAGCACCTGCTCACCCGCATACGGGACTCGACACCACTGTTGGCCCCAGCAGGGCTTCCCGCCGCCCGGAGCAGGGCCTGGCTTTGGACATTGCCTGCAGCCCAGCACCGTTGGGGCGCAGGATGGACCCCAGGGAGCGGGGCTGTGCTCTGAGGGCTGCCCGTGCTCCCGGGCACCGGCCGGACGCACCGTGGACTCAGCGTGGACAGTCCCCGTGGCTGGGCGCTGCGGTACAACACGGGGACGGGGCACCGAGCCAGCCCCGCTTCACTGCTCAGCGCTGCGTGGAAGGGGACTGTGGGCGCAGGGTGCCAGGGGTGCTGCTCTGTGGGCATCAGCACAGAGCAGAGCTGAGCCCTGCCCACCAGCCTGTCCCCTCGGTGCCCACTAGTCACCAGCAGACAGACGGGCTCCTCATCCCCCTGCCCCTGGCCAGGGCAGGACGGAGCAGTGATCCCAATAAAAGGGGTAGTGTTGGCGCTGCCTGGGCCAGACCTCTCTGCACATCATGCAGGAGCAGGGCAGAGGTGTGAGGTGCCAGGCAAGAGGAGAGATGGCAGCTTGGGGACACATGGCCCTTGCAGGGCACACGTGGCTGGTCAACAACCAGGGCACCTTCGTTCCAACCTCTCCCCAGGGAGCTGCTGAGCAGAGAGGGACCCTCGCCTTGCCCAGCCCTTGCAGAAGAGGATGGCCCTTGTGTGCAAGCCTTGCATATCCCAGCAAAGTAAGTCTTTAGGGGAAGGACACCCCAAAAAGGCAGGACTCTGCCCAACTGCAGCCGCCTTGCCCCTCAGGAGAGCCATGAGGATGTGCCCCAGGGCAGCTACAGCCTTCTGCCTGGGGCATCTCACTTGCTGTGCCATTAGCAGCCCTGCACAGCCCCTCTGCACAGCCCCCCTTGCTCACAGTGGGCTGCCTCGGCTCCTCTCTGCTCGAGCGACCCCATAATCATTTCCATGTGTTGGCACCTCGCAGCGCCAGTGCTCAGCGCCAGCAGCTCCAATGAGCTCCAGATGGGGCTGGATGGAAATTCAGGCAGCGGCAGCAGCGGCGCTGGCTGGCGCGGGAGCGCGGGAGCGGAGCCGGCGCAGGGGGCCGGGGGGGCTCTGCCCTGTGGCCAGCCCGGCAGGGGACATGGGTCACTCCGGGCTGCACCGCGGGGCTGCCCATGCACCCGGGCTGCAGCAGGAGCAAGGAGGCCTCTCCGCAGGCTCTGTGCAACGGCTAGGCTGGACTTCCCTCCTTGATCCTGCCCCTTCTCAGTGCCCTTTCTGCCCCAGTCCTGGGCATTGGGACGTCGGGGCTGCCCGGTCAGTGCTGGGCTTTGCAGCACGCGGGCTCCTCACTAGCCCTCGCAAGCACTTCCAGCCTGGGCAGGGGAGATGCAGGGCCAGTCCTCCAGCCTGGCTGTGGGTGTGATGGCAGCAAACCAGGGTGAGAGCGGGGCTTGTTCCAGGCGAGCAAAGCAGGTCCCGGAGCTGGCGAGGGCCCTGTGTGCACCCACAGGCAAATACAGGGAGCGGATCCTGCGTGCATCTCCGGGCGCAACAGCCCCATCGCCTGGCGAGCACATCCCAGACCATGGCAGCTCCAGCCCTGTCGTGCTGCCTTCGCCGCCTGCTGGTGCCCAGCTGAGATGTGCCCAGCTGGAACCAGCGTCCTGGCATCCTGGCATCCCCATGACCACGGGGCTTGGCTGGGGCCTGCACTGGGAAGGAGGGATGCGTGTGTACCCGGAGCTGCCAGGCTCAGCGCGGACCGTGTCTCCCACGTGCCTTGGTCATTCTTGTCTCCTTGGTCCCCAGCAGGCCACGTGTAGCCCTGCCTGCTTGGAGATCACCTCTTATCACCCCCAGATCCCACCTTCCCTACTGCTGTGGGGGGAATCAGGACTCTCGGTGTCCATAGGGTGCTGTTGAACACATGCAGTATCCACCCCATATCCATGACTTTGGTGTCTGCAACAATTTTCAGTGTTTTCCTGGCACGTGGTGCTGGTTTTAGACGCCTGCTCTTGACACAGGAATGCACTGGCTAGTGAATGGGAGAATGTGAGCCGGCAGCCTTGGCCCCCACCTTCTACCCCGCTTACAAACTCCTTCAGAAAATCCAGTCTTGATCCAGAGGAAAAGGAATTGCTGCTGGCCAGGGTGGCACAGAGATGAGCGGAGCCTGGCACGTGCACAAGGCAAAGGGTGCCCACTCCACGCAGGCAAGTACAGGTGGGTGCACGGGAAAGGCTGCTCTCCCTGCATGTGCATGTGTGCGACCCCAGTGCACAGACCCCTCTGGAAAGGCAGAGCTGATGGTCTGCGAATGGAGATGTGGAAATGCCATGTGCACCCAGACCCTACTCAGCCCTCCTCAGGGTGAGGAACAGGCTCAGATCCTCTGCAATCTCCAAAATAAAGACTGATGGTTGGAGGGGACCCAGAGCTCTGCTGCCCCCCATGCCAGGCCCTCAGTCTCCTTCCTTAGTGCCACAGTGTGTCTGGACTCAGTTGGGACATGGGGACACCCAGTTGCTGGGCAGGATCCTTGCAGCTCAGGCAAGATTTTCGGGCGGCCTGGCCTAGAGCTGAGGGGGATGTTCATACTCCCACCAGCATCCTGAAGATGTGACACACAGACAACAGGAAACAGGAAGGAAGGAAGGAAGGAAGGAAGGAAGGAAGGAAGGAAGGAAGGAAGGAAGGAAGGAAGGAAGCAGGGAGCTCAGTGCTTGAGGGATCAGGATGTTTAATGTCGGGTGCTGCACGCCCTGGGAACCCAGCTGCCTGGGCGGTGTGTGAGCTGGCACTGAACACCAGTGAACGTGGCTCTCCTCTGCACCAGATACAAGGGGAGGGCTGGGTACATAGAAATATGGGATTACGGAGTGGGTTCCAGGTGCCAAAATCCAGTTCCAAGCTGCAGAGAAGGAAAAGAGGAAGAAAACATGAAAACAGTTCCAACCTGATGGCACCTCCCTTTCCCACCCTTCCTCCCTTCCCCTCCCTTTTTCCTTTCCCTCCCTTTCCTCTGGGCTAGGGCACTTTCTTCATGGCTCAAGCCTTCCAGAGCCTCACGCTTGCAGTCACTAAGCTAGCAGGAGGCTTCCTGCTCCAGGCTGGAGCACTGTCTGGATGCACCCTGCCCAGAGCAGACAGAGATGCTGCCAAATTTGCCTTGCTGGAAGATCTCACCCTCCCCTATGGCAGACATGTGCCGAGATCTGTAGGAACAAGATTAAGACCCTGGTCTTGGGGTGCTGAGGCCATGTCAAGCCAAGATGCACATACAAGGAGTGGGAACAGGTCCCACTTTCCTGCATGGAGCAGGCAGCAGCCAAGACCCAACAGGAGGAAAACGGGAGAGCGAAGCCCATTATGGGCCCGAAGTTTAAAGCCAGAATTGCAACATGCCAGGAAACATCCCCAGCACCGAGGCTCCAAATAGATCATGTCTGTGCTACATGTCTCCGTTTAGGACAGGGCAGCCCCCTCCAGAGCACCTCAGGGAGCTGGGATGGGTCAGCTAGCTGCCCAGCCACATTCAGGGCTTATTTGAGATAATGATAGTCAATTTGGGCCAAAACTTGCAGCATGTCACTAGTAAGAACATTTATACAGTGATGCTTGAACTGCTTGAATATGAAAGGTCCTGCTAAAAGTCTGTGCTGCCCCTGAACCCAAATCATCTTTTTTTCCAGACCTCACTCCCAGGATTAGCCTGCTTTTTGCAGAGGAACAGCCACTGCAGGGCTGTAAAGCAAGACAGTCTTGACTTGCCTCTCATGGCTGCTCCTGCTTCCCTCTCTTCCATGTCCTGAGCCAGGGGAAGAAGTAAAAGCAACCCCAGTAGATCCTGGAAATACAGGCACATGTAAGAGAGATTTTGGTCATTGGGCAAGGGAGAAAGGGAAGGATTCATACACAGGCAGTGAGTAGCAAGGTGGGATCAGAGGTGGGATCCAAGGATGGATGAGCATATAGATGCATGGATGGACTGATGAATGGACAGTTTGGATGCTCTAACCTTCCTAAGCACCAAAGATTCTCCCTGTGCATAGGGGAATCTCCAGAGGAGCTGCAGGCCCCCTCAGGAGCTAAATCAGGCTAGGAAATACTGAGAGACCATCCCTGAAATGTCACAGCCTGCTACAACAGTGGGAAGGTGGAAATCTTCATCATCTGGCTGTGAGTTTTGTCGCTGGAGAGAGAAAACAAGCCTGGAGAGAAGGAAGGAGGGGAAACATCCCCCTCTGTCCAAGGGAGAGGAGGGCTATTTTGGGTTGTGTTCTGAGTTGCCCTAGAAATGTGTAACAAAAATAACAGGGACTGCAGCTTCCTGTGGTGGTGTCAGTAAATGAAGTCCCTCAGGCTGCTGGGGTTCCCAGGGCAGACTCAGATCCTGTTCCCCAAGTTCTGCGGCTTTTTCCAGAAGGAGCACAGCTCCCTGGGCCAAGCAGCTTTCACATCATACTGTTAGGGCACTGCGAGGAGAGCGTGGCCAGCATCCTGCCCCAGGGACATGGCAAATCCAAACATTCCTTAAAAACGTAGCATAGATTTCACTTCAGCATAGATTTCACTTCACCTGCAAGTGGGATACCCCTGCGTGGGGTCTTGCTAACAAGTCAAAGCAAGACTGGCTCCTTGGAGACCCCTGAAATCACACACACTCACTTTTCTTCATCTGCCTCCCTTAGCTGCCATCTGCCTGCAAACTCCTTCCCAATCTTCCTCTCTCTTTCCTGAAAAACAAGAAGGATCCAAATCACTCTGCCTATGCCAGGATACCCAGAGTCTCCCCCTGCAAATGGACTCTGCCAGCTGGGGAGTGTGAATATCAATCCTCACCAAACTGTCCTGCAGACAGAGCTGTGGCACCCAGACAGAGGAGATGGTGAAAGAAGCAAGACGGAGAATGGTTTGTATGGTGGGTAAACCCAAAGGATTTGAACCTGCTCACCTCTTTCATCACCCTGCAAGCATCCACCGGGTTTCCCATCAATGTCTGCAAGAAAGAAGGGCTGTGTCTCCTTCAGCACACTGCCCAGAGAGCAGGCTGTGAGAGGACATGGACATGGTTCAGGGAGACAATGCTCCTTGCCTTGTCCTTGCTCCTTGATATCACCTGCCAGGCCAGATGTGCCGGCATCCAAGCAGAAGTGGAAAGGACGAGGAATGGGAAAAAAACTGACATCTCTTTTTCATGCCCTAAAGCATTTTTTTTTCCTGCTTTAAGCCTGATTC